AGAGTATATATACTTACAGTTATTACTTCGTTTCTAGTTTGATGTGGTAGTCCTGTAGCTGGCCTCCCATGATCACTAATTGTTCTTCCTGTGTGTGTTTTGCTTCCTGAGGGGAGACAGTATACATTAGTAGAATATTCTATTCTTATCACCAAAAGTATATCACTTTAGAAGAATTCTACATTTGTAACTCACTTAAAAATAATTATTTGACTCAACCTCATGGCTTTATGAAGCAAATTATACTTTATATACACTTTCATTTGCTCATTAGTAGGCCATTAAAAAAGGAAAGAATTATTCTGAAGAGATTGTGGAGAGTTCAAATCTATTAAGAATGAAAAGACCATATAGCAGTTGTAAGATCTGTGAATTGCGAAATAGGGATTATCTTCTTCTTTAATGAAAGTGTGTATGAGTTGTTCAGGAATAGTTACCATGCAGCAGAGCCTTGGAGCCTTGTGCTAGGGGGTGAGGGAATGACTCATTGTGTTATAAAATACCCCGCACTGATGAAAATTCCCCAAAATCATCATGGTAACTACTGAGGTCATTTATGAAGGTAGACAAACCTAAAGAACTATTATTTTACTTTAAGACCATACTAAATTGAATGTAAATAGATTTTAAACATCTTAAGAACAGCAGTAATGCCTCCAGTTATTGACTGCTAGAAATTTCAAGATTTCCACTGTTATGTTCAAAACAATGCAAATTTATCTTAGTGTTTTCAGTTTTATTTTGGTAGCATTTTTGGACTTTGATTTTGCATTAAATTTTGAGATGGAAAGAGTGACAATACAAAGTGCAGTAAATGAAGTTGCCAAAGTCATATATTATGAAAAGATTCAGAAATCTGCAACAGCTCATGAGACAAGACAGTGTCAGCTACTCGGGTGCATCTTACATCTCAAAGTGACTCTCAGTTTTAAATGACTCACTGTTCACTAGGCTCTAGCCTAAGTAGAGCTTTTTCAACTTTGCTGCACTTTTGAGCTTGCTTTCTCTTGTTGTATTCTAATGTAAGTGAAAAGGAAATTAAACTCTTGTTGCTTTTATTTTTTACTGCTTGATTACTCCTATGGAGTAAGTAGTTGATCCTGGCAAAAGAGTAAACTTAGACATACATAATACTCCTTTTTCTTTTCACCTTTTTTTTTTTTTTTTAATTTAAAAAATTTTTTTGGTGGGTGCAGTACTGGAGATTGAATCCAGAGCCTCACACATGCTAGTGAAGTGCTGTACTATTGAACTACATTCCCAGTCCTTTTTATTTTTTGAGACAGGCTCTCATTGTGTTATCCAGGCTGGCCTTGAACTTGTTGTAATCCTTTTGCTTTAATTTCCATGCACCTGGGAGTACAGGTGTGTGCCACTAGGCCCAGCTTCATACCCCTTTTTTTACTTATACTTGAGGTGATAAATATGCCAATTACCCTATCAGATCATTATACATTATGCACATGTATTGAAATTCATACTATGCCACATAATATATACAATTACTGTGTGTTAAAAATAAAAACAAGCAGGCTGGGGATTTAGCTCAGTGGTTCCGCTGCCTACCTCACAAGCACAAGGTCCTGAGTTTGATCCCTGGTACCAGAAATAAATAAATAAAAATAAAAACAATCATGCCTGTGGCCCAGTACTTGGGAAGTGGAGGTAGAAGCATTATAAGCTCAAGGACAGCTTAGGCTATATAGCAAGTTCAAGGCCAGGCTAGACTATTTAGTGTCTGTGAATAAAGAAACAAAAATAAGCAATAACAAATCTTCCTTTCTCATTAAACCTTACATTTTACCTTTCATTCATCCTTCAACAAACAAGCATTGGGTATCTGTGTTTAGTATATTGTCATGTAGTAGCTATACAGTACCTGTCATGCATTAAACTGATACTCATAGCCTAGAAAGGGAAACAGTAAAATTAATACTGCAACTCCTTCCATAACTCTCCCCGTGTTTTTTAATTAATTTTTCTATATAGCACTTAGTAACATCTAATATTTTGTGTTTAAGCCATTATGAGGGAATATGCCTATAATCACAGCTACTTGGGAAAGGGAGGCAGAATGATCAAAGGCTCAAGACCAGCCTGAGCAACTCAGTTAAACCATGTTGTCAAAATTTTTTTTAAAGGGCCAGCAATGAAGTTGGGTGAATGAAGGCCCTGGGTTCAATCCTTAGTCTCTACCCCCTCAACTGTGTATTTTTTTTTATCTTGGTTTGATCTCACTTTCTTAACCTCTTTTGGTTACTATAACAAAATACCATAGACAAATTAGTTCATGAAGAAATTCTTTTCTCACAGGGAGGCTGGGAAGTCTGTGACCAAGGTGATGGCAGATTCAGTGTGTGGTGAGGGCTGTTCTCTGGTTCATAGATCATGGCTTCTTGCTGTGTTGCTCATATGGTAGATGCAACAAGGCAGCTCTCAGAGGCCTTATAAGGATGCTGATCCCATGCATGAGGGCTCTGGACTGCAGGCCAAATCAACACCAACATTCCTTTTTTTTCTGGTACTGGGAATTGAACTCGAGACCTTGCTCTTGCCAGGCAGGCATGGCACCACTGAGCTAAAACCCTTGGCCCCAAAATTCCTAATTCTGTCACATTCTGTCAATGTAGGAATTTGGGGGACAGGACCACTTTCAGACCATAGTGTTTATCCAGACAACGTTAGCTGCGTGAGGTAAGGAATATTTTGTCTAAGGAGTATTTATTGGTTGACAAGTGAGGAAGATACACAGTCAACATGTGCCCTTCATTCTACTTCTTTAGCCTGTCTTCACTCTACTGCTACTTCCTTATTTTAGGTGTTTAATTTTTTTTCTTTTTTGTATTTTGCCTGATATACCTTTACCCCCAGTATTGAGGATTGAACGTAGGGCTTTTGAACTGAGCTGTATCTCTATCCCTTTATCCATTTTTTGAGACAGGGTCTTGTTAAATTGATAAGTTGCCCAGGCTGGGCTCAAACTTGCAGTCCTTCTGTCTTAGCCTTGTAGAGCCCTGGGACTTACAGGAGTGTACTCAATATTTGCCTGTCTGTCTGTGAAGCTTCGTAGCAGTTTCTCTGTCCCTTCACCCCTTTCTCTTCTGTTGCCTACGCCCATCTCTTAACTTCATGTGGCAGTAGTACCAGTATTTGCCAGATGTATTGCCCTTCTTCAGGCTTCTTTTCATTATGGTCCTAGACATCAGCATAACTTGGAACCTAGTTAGAAATACAAATTCTTGGCTCCACCCAAGATCTGCTGAGTTAGAAACTCTGGGGGTAGGACTTAGCAAGATGAACAGAACTTCTAGGAGATTTATATATACTGTACCTTAAACTTGAGAAGCACTGCCTTAAATCTTTTGAAGCTCATTTTCTTAAGTCAAACATTAATCACCACACTTTCAAAATTACTTTTATTGTGTAACTCTTTGTCCAGCTCACTAACCTTTCTTTCTGTCAGTCCTTTTTAAATTATGCATTGGACCTGTCTTATTTATCCTCCCAGTCCTTCACACTATGTAGGTGTTAAACAAGATTCATGATCCATTTCCTGAAATCTGTTTTACATACTGTTGCCTATTTCCTCCCAGCTCTGCAACTTTGAATATTAGATTGTGTAATGTTTTCTCATTTTTTTCTGTTGTATCCTGATGTAGAGGAGCAAAACAGCAACAAAATTTTAAAAAAGAATGCTTTACTATCCAAAATAAAATAAAGATTTTCTGGGCAATAAACTTACCATTGTTAATATGCCATATATTAATACTGTTTTTCTGTTTGTTTTCTTCTTTGTCTTCCCTCCTTGACCTTCAATATCCTTACCTTTCTTTATCTCTTTAAGAATTTAAGAGACTATTAACTTTGAATTTTGACCTCAGTTGCCCAGGTTTTTTTATGAACCTGGACAGATCTTTCCTTGTGTAGTAGATGATAGCTTATATTAGCACTGAAAGATGAAACCAGGTACTGTTTAAAACAGTCTTATATAAACCCTGCAGTACGTTCTTAATACATATTTCTTTATACTCTCAAATGAGTAAGTGGGTAAATTCAAAGGATTGAGCAAATTTCCAAGTTAGAAATGCATAGTGACAGCTGGTCACGGTGGTTCCTGCCTGTTTTTGTAGCACTCTAGGAGAATGGAGCAAGAGAAGTCCAAGTTAAAGTGCAGCCTAGAGATACTCACTCTCAAAAAATCAAAAAGGATTGGGAGTATAGCTCAGTATGAAGGCCCTGGGTTCGATGCCTAGTACCCCCCCCTCCCACAAAAGCATAATGAAATTACCACAAGGGATTTCAAGAATTTGAGTAATAAGGAATGAGACATTTTTATATTCAATAAATATTAAGTGATTAAAGTTTCAAAGGAAAGAACAAGTAGCCATTGTCACAGTTAGATTTTCTTCTCTAAAGGAAAAATGTAAATTGAATTTTATTTCAGGGTCTGGAAGTGTGGCTCAGTGATAGATTGTATGCATTGCATGTGCAAGGCCCTGGGCTTAGTCCTCAACATCAAGAAAATAAAATAATTGTTATCTTGGGCCGGGGATTAAGCTCAGTGGTGCCACCTCCTTCCTGGCAAGTGCTAGGTCCTGAGTTCGATCTCTGGTACCCCCCCCCAAAAAAAAACCAAAACAAAACAACAACAAAATAAAATAATTGTTATTTCAGTGCAAAATTTCAAGGTTAAGTTTTAAAATTCATGTTTATTTGTATGCATACCTTCCTATGAATATTTTCTTTGGTGTACATTTTAAATAATTCTTGTGTTGACTTATTTACTGTTAATATTATAATGGTTTGATCGTATATCTTGGACTATAAGTTTTAATTGTTACAATAGTTCTGTTTTTGTTGAACAGGAAAGTCAATAATTTATGTATATATGAAGGGTTTCATATTTGAAAATCATCACAATATAGTCTCATGAGATATTCTTTCATAAAAACACATTTTCAGTTATAATTTAAAAACCTTTCTTTTTAACATGCACACAGGAAACCGCGACCAGTCTCCCAGTTGGTTGCACAGCAGGTCACTCAGCAGTTTGTGCCCCCTACACAGTCAAAGAAAGAGAAAAAAGATAAAGTAGAAAAAGAAAAAAGTGAAAAGGAAACAACTAGCAAAAAGAACAGTCATAAGAAAACCAGGTAAATTTGAAGTGTTTTATGGTGTTTTTTCAATAATAAAATTAACCACTTAATATTCTCTTTTAACATGGATATACTCATGTACACGTTGTGAAAGTAAAAGATTTATGTCCTTTATTCTACATTGTTATGAAAGCTTCTGATTATGAAAGGTATACTGGAAAGCAAACACTGGTCACAAATGTGAGCTTCAGTGTGAGGATTCTTTTTTCTTTTTACTAGGTTTTTAAAAGACATTGACTGTTCTTTTTTTTTTTTCCCCTCTCCTTATATAGAAGGTCTCTTTGAAAGCTAGAACAGTGAAAATGCTGCCCAACATTTGCATGGGCTTTGACAGTTACATGGTCATGGGTTTAGTTAGAACGATTGTGATGCCCTTGGAAGTGCCCATCAGTGGAGTGGCACCTTGCATTTAGCTCTCCCTTAGCTCTTATCAGCTTCCTCTGCAGTGTGACTGTTTGATAAGGTTAATAAGCTCCATACAGATTATAATATAAATTTAAAGTGCAATTAAGAGATCACTACTTCCAGACCTTCAGTTTTTTGTCATGTTGCTGGTTCATGAATGATTGATTTGATTAATGCTAATAATTTGAAACATTTAATGATATTTCTATGGCTAGTTACACGTGGATAACTTTAAACACAGTTGTAGTCATTTTGTTATTCTTGCCTCACTTGTTATTTACTATATGGTCATAAATTTGATAGCAGGAAATGCTAGTTTTAAAAAATTCATTTTTTGTGTTTAGGCCAAGATTGAAAAATGTGGACCGGAGTAGTGCTCAGCATTTGGAAGTTACCGTTGGAGATCTAACAGTCATTATTACAGACTTTAAGGAGAAAACAAAGTCACCACCTGCATCTAGTGCTGCTTCCGCAGATCAACACAGTCAGAGCAGCTCCAGCTCTGATAACACAGAGAGGGGAGTGTCCAGGTCATCTTCACCCAGAGGAGAAGCCTCATCACTGAATGGAGAATCTCATTAAAGTTTATTTTCCCCAGTTTCTTAGTCACTTCTGTCCTATCATGCAAATACACAGATTATGCCAAGAAGTACCACATTTTCATGACAAACATATTTATGCACAATCCATAATTTGAGTTTTACATAAAATTTAAAATTGTTGGAATTTGTTGGGTTTTATTGCAATCTATGCCTACAAAACATTTCCGTAACATTTTAGCAGTTAGGTGTCATGAAAATGTGGTTGAATTATTCATATGCAGTGTTATTGGTAAGTCTATTTTCACTTTTAGTTTAGTGAATTCTAACACATAATTCTCTACTATTGGCATGTAATGAATTTAAATTTTTTATAACATACTGCAAGCTGCCTAAATATGTATTTGAGAATTGTGAAACAAATAGTTATATGTATACAAGTCAGAGATCAACTTAATCACTATTGCTACAACAGGATTTTCTTAATGGTTATCCTCTTAAATACACCTGCTGGTACTTGGTGTGGTTAAATAGGAAAGTCATTATTAAAGAATTTGTATGAATCTTTGCCAATGTTTTTGACATGTTTTACTAAATTATTGTTTCTGAATTATGTTTCTGGTTTTATCCATTTTTTTGAGGTTTTTTGTTAGTTTGCTTATTTTTCAAACATTCATATATTGTAATGTTAGCAGACTAGTAAACAAAGCATTGATTATTTAGCTTTATAATTCAGGTTTAGTGCTATTGTCATTGAACACTGGTTATTTTCTGTATTATATAAAAAACATTAAAATTCAGATAATTATAAGCATTTGGCAAAAAAAAATTTGCCATATTTTAAAAGCTGCGATTTTGGAAAAGCTTTAATTTAATGATAGTTTTATCACTGTTTTCTTGTCCCAAACTTATCCAGGGTCATAGATGTTTGAGTCCAGTTAATACAGAAGTAGAATTGTGCACAGAACTGAGAAATAACTAATCCTAAATTAATTTAATTGGCTCCTTATTAAATACAACAACTGTTATGAAAATCATAGTTCCCTCTTTTCAGACACAACTGCCAATTTATGCATATATTAATATTCTGAAAAAGTATTTACAGCCCCACTCACTATGATGTACAATTACCAATAAAATATTTTTATGACTATAGATTTTGCATTTTTGTTTACAAGTAATAAAATGTTTTATGTTGTATTTTAAAATCCCAACTTTGAAACCACACAATACTTTAAAAAATTCTTCTATGGTCTCCTACTTTCTGTAACTATTTGCTGAGTGTATATTCACTTATGGAGACTTCTGAAATGTAAATCAGCTTGAAAACATAACTTGGATACAAAATATCACATATATGATAAGGTAACATTTGAAGAAAAAAACTATAGACCCTGACAGTTGTGATATTTGGTGGTTTCTCGTGGTAATGTAATTTTGTTTAATTTCAGTACTTTTTACAGACATAATGGTACTGTCTTTTGTAAATTGCTAGTTGTGAAATACAGTTAATTGCATACAGTAAAAATCTGTGATTAAAACATTCATATACCTCATTCTTTAGTGTTGTTAAATGAAAAATGAAAATTTGTGTTTAAGATACTTTCAGTGGAATTCCAACTAACTGGTAATGTTCTTTTAAAACGGTATTTTGTCTTATCCTTAGTTTTTCACATTTCGCTTGTTTTACATATTCATTTTTGGGGAAATACAAATTTTAAATAATTGTCATAGGAAGATACTGTAGTACTGAAGTCAAAAGTAATTCATTTATGGCGATCAGGTTCTTTCAGGATGCATTTTAAATGAAGTACAAGAGAGGAAAATCTTGATAGAAGATGGAATTTTACCTGAATAGGACATGCTCATCATTCTGTATAGGTGGAAGACAGTGTATCATGAAAATTAACCCCATTACTGCAAGATTGCACCTTTTGGATTTTTGCATGAAATTCATATATGTTGCCTAGAAAAATTCAAGGAACAAGAATTTGAAGTGAAAATTTTTTGTTCTATTGTTAGGAGCATTCCAAAAAATGGAACATTAGGCATTGAAGGGTGAAGAATGCTAGCTGACATCTCGTGTTTGAGTCTGTTGTAGTATTCAAATAAGCTTGGGAAATTACTCCATTCTGTAAAACCAATGACGATTGTATCTAACTCACAGGGTTGTTGGGAAGATTAAGTGTCAATCCATATAAGATTCTTAATTACGTTGGACCCTTGACTTACAAAATCAGTTGGTTCCTAAGGGCTAGTTGTAACTCAGGTTGATTGTAAGTTAATGTAACTGAGATCTGGATGTTTATCTGGTACACTGTTTATACGTTAAAAAGAGGCAGATGAATTTTCTATTAAGCCAATTAGCCCAAGTTGTTCATATGTCAGGCCAGTCGTGACTTGAGGGTCTCCTGTACATCACAAATACTGGTTGCTCAGTAAATGTGAGTTTTTTTTATGGGCTAGCATGTGGCTCCGTGGTAAAGTGCTTGCCTAGCACCTGTGAGGCCCTGGGATAGGGAGTAAGCTTTACTATAACTTTAGGTAAAACCCCATTATAAAAATAACTTTTGTAATGAAATTATTAACATGCCTTCCAGATAACCTAAAGGAATAGTGTTCTAAAAGTCACAGTGAGGGTTGGGGATATAGCTCAGTGGTGCAGAACCTGCCTGGTAAGTACAAGGGCCTGAGTTCGATTACTGGAACCAGAAAAAAAAAAAAAAGAAAAAGGTAGTGAATTTTCACTGTAACATCACATGTTTGCTGTGGTCCTAGAAATACCATCCTTCCACAGTTAAAAGAATATGATTGGGAAAAAAACTATGAGATTGGAAAAATGAGCTAGGTTGCGTAGTTTTGAAATTTTGTTTTCCTTTCATTTATCACAATTAATGTTCACCTGCCTTCATTTTACTCTACCTCAAATGTACTTTCTTGCCAAGAAAACATGCAAATACCATAAGTAACTTGCACCTACTGTTAAAGTATGCAAAACAATTCAGAGCCTCGGGTAGGGTGCATTTCAGCTCTCAAATGTGCCATGAATTTACAGTGTGGTTTTAGCAGTGGGTCCTTCGGACCAAATTCTATACAAAAATAATTTCAATGTTTTTCAGAGTTTATTATTTTACTTTGATTTAAGAGAGTGAAAATAAAGCAAGAATATTTTCTCTCTCTCTCCCTCTCTCTCTCTCTCTCTCTCTCCCTCTCCCTCTCTCTCCCCCTCTCCCCCCTCCCCCTTCCCTTCCCTCTCTCTCCTAGTACTGGGTATTAAACTCAGGGCCTTCATACTGAGCTACATCCCCAGGCTCTCTTTTTTATGTTTTCACATAGGGTCTCCTAAGTTGCCCAAATGGACTCAAACTTGGGCTCTTCCTAAGTTTCTCAGAGTGCTGGTACTACAGGCATGCACCACCACATCTAGCTGAAAAGTTCATAGTCTTAAAATTATTTGTATTATGCAGTACAAATAGACGATTTAATAACTTAAAAGTTAAATGTTTCTTAAAATTATATAATAGACAAGGCAAAAACATTTTTGAAAGGAAAAACAACAGCCTAAGTTGGTAGTATCTTTATTAACTTTTTTTAAGATACAAATCCTTTTTGCCTAAAAGAATGTAGCTTTAGCTTATGTTTTAAGGGTAAATGATCTGGAAGTCTTAGTTTCCACTGGGGCCCTGAGGCCCTTACTTTACTTTGTTGGCCTGCAAATTTTCTTTTCCAAAATCTTTGGAGGATCTGATGTAAGAACTGGTTAAGTTGATAAATATTTCTGTAGTGTACCTTGAAAATTAAGAGAACAGAAGGATGAGAGTTCAACAGTGGTTTGAGAATAGCATTCACCCCTCCCATTCACTGTAAGACACCTTCAGTTCCCTGGAACAATGAAGTTAGAAAGATTGAAGAGCAGAAAGGCCATCAGTGACATAGTAAAGCTGAGTGGAATCAAAAGACAATAAAAGTTACAGGACACACA